GACCACCTGCCTATAGGAGTCTCTTATTCATAAATAATACATAAGAAATACATAAATGACAGAAATGCTTACACATGAATTTAGGGGCTAATATTTGTTGCGTTATAGTTTAAATTATTTTTTTACACAATTTAGTCATTTAATTCCTATAGCTTGTAAAGAAAGGTTGTCATAAACCCCTTTTCATGTTCCACAACTACAGCTACAAAGTACAGCTAACACTCTAAACAGGACCATATACTGTACCTGAGTCAACGCAAGTGTAAAAAAGGAACATTAATAAGAAAAGTAGCTGATTACAGCTATTAAATTTTCTCATCATAAACTTTTTTTGTATTTGTAACTTGCATACAGTATGTAATCCTGCCTACAATGGTTTCATTATTTGGCGAGGCGATAGTGGTGCAGTGGGTAGAGCAGGCGTCTCCAACCGGAAGGTTGAAGGTTTGAATCTCAGTGCCTCCAGTCCACATGTCGAAGTGTCCTTGGGCAAGACAATGGAACCCCCCCCCATTGTTAGAACCATTGGTTGAGTTGGTGCCACAGATGGCTGCCATCGGTTCTGTACCGGAAACAAATTCTTGTAACATACTTGGCCAATAAAGGTGATTATCCTATTAAAAAAAAAAAACTTTCCTCTACAACAGTACTGTGCTGTGCTGTTTGAATTCTGTCTGCTCTTTATAGGGTTACTCACTGTTCCTTATTTGTTTCTTTTTTTACTTGTGTTGACTTGGGTATATGGCCATTTTGAGTTAGCTATAGCCTACCCCATCCCCCATTCCCACCTTACCCCTTCCTGCCCTTTACTACCCATACCCCACATCCCCACTCCAACACTCTCTCTTACCCACTTCTGAAAACAACCCTCCACCCCCATCCATTCCTTCTTGTTCATGCTGTACATATAAATTATATCTGCCTGTGTACACCTTTCTGAACACACAGTGCATGACATTAAGACAATAAGATAGTATGGAATGGTACTGTCTTGAAGCACTTGGCTTTAGTGGGGGGCAGCATTTACACGTACAGTATCTGTTGTGCTCATTAGAGCACACTCCCTTTTGTTTCATGTTATTGACATTGTCTCATTACAGTCTCATGGGCCGGCTTTTATAGATTTCTAGCCTTTCAGTTGAAGGTGCAAACAGTGAGAGAACAACAGAGACCAGTTTGTTAGAACAACTGGAAACATTGCCCCTAAATCACACAAAAATGTTTTACTTGAAAATGTTAGGTACTTCTGACACATGAACACCGAGGTCTTTAATATTTCATTCCCCCACTTTATAATGCATCTTATTGTGAAAGTTCCTTTTTGTAGTATACAATAATAGGAAAGACAAAAAACCACAACAAAAAACAATGATGGGCATCTCTTGCAGGACGTATGCTTTACTGATGATTGGGTCTTCACAAGTGTTCACAAAAGTGTAACTTTATAAATTTTAACTGGATTCATGCAAATATTCTTTTTCCTCTTGGAGTTTAAAAAAAGTGTGGAGCATAGTTCTGGTGTGCTACTGCAACATTGCACCTATGTTTATTACCAAGTATCAGCTAAACTAATGACATTGTGATCAGCCTCAGCTGCACTTTGTGTTTAGTGCTAAGTAGCAGATGTCAGCATGATAACATGCTGTGTGTGTTGGGGGTGGGGGCATTTTGGGGATATAGTATAAAGATGTGAGCTCACCAAGATGATCCAACATTCTAACACAGAACAACAGAATTATTGTATATCAAATTCAGTTAACATTTTTTATCAGCTCTGGTCATTGCTTACCTCATGACAATTAGAGACTAGAGTTGAAACATCATTCTTTTTCATTTCTTATTCCAACACTACAGAAATTATAGCTTCAGAATCATTCATCCACTCTGCACAGCTGACATGAATTTATGGTGCATCTGACCTGCTCACATGGCATTAAGACTCCTGGCCCCATTAAGCCTTGAAGCCTAGAACAACAGCCTGGTCAGCTTGTGGGTCATACTAAACGTGTTTATATAAGCTGTTTGAATAATGATATGAGGACATAAGGGCAGATAGTGAGAGTGAACAAATATTTGACAGAGGATGACCAGCTGTTTGTCAGGATGCCATTAAGCCAGCAGGTTGCATAGCACCTTCAACTAAATGCTTCAGTTTGTACCCAGTGGCAGCAGTCCCACATCTAGGCAATTTCTTGTTGAGATATGACTGAACTGTGTAAAACCTGTCAAGAAACATTAAGCATTAAAAGGTTTCCACAAGCAACAGTACCAGCAAACAGGAGACTGCACACTAGAAAGGCCAACTAACTGGCCATACTAACCCCTAACTGTCTGCAGGGAGGACAGTCATGTTCTTTCTTTTTTATTTTTATTTTCTACTCACATTCCCACACTATATATCCCCCTAAAAATACTGAAAAAAATTAATAC